TCCTCCTCCACTGGCCTGTCTCTCTGCTCCACGGTTTTCTCATTTGTAAAGTGTGTTCTCCGCAGAGTTCAAGGAATCAACATACCTAATGCTCTCAGGCCAGTGACCTGAATTGTCAGGACCAGTCTCCCTAACCTCTGAGTTCCTGTGTCCCCAGATCAGCCAGTACCATTGGTTTTGACCAACATGCTTGCACCTCCAGGGCAGATGGGGACATCCAAACTCCCCACCAGTGATAGGGTTTGTCAGATTTCAGACTGACAAGGTGGTGGGTCAGCTCCGGTGACCCTTGTACCCTCTCTCTCTGGGCCCAGGGTATGTCCTTTTCAGCCAAGAACCTGAAAGTCGAGGTCCCAATCGGCTGAGCCCCAGAAGGCTCTTACCAGGTGAGCTATCACTGATCCCTCGATCCCAAGATGAGACAGCTTTCCCTCCAGACAGGCCAGACAGGTCCCCAAATCCCAAGTGGTGGCCAGAATTCGAGAGAGACTTTGAAGTCTGAGCACTCTCAGCTCACCAGCCAGATGACAAGAGATCTGAAGTGGAGGGGGAAGGGGGGGAGCCCCTGGGGACAAGAGTTATCACAAAGGCCCAACAATTATCTAAACCAAGTTCTTGAAGCCCCAAGGGCTCAGGTAGAAGTAAGCAAGAGACAGTTTTCCCACGGCCCTGAGCTAGACCTGATTTGAATTTCACCCCACCCTTTCCTGGCTGTGTGTCCTTGGACCAGCTTCTCCCCTCTCTGACCCTTAATGCCCTCATTTCTTTTTTTTAATCTTTATTTATTTTTGAGAGAGAGACAGAGTGCGAGCAGGGGAGGAACAGAGGGAGAGGGAGACACAGAATCTGAAACAGGCTCCAGGCTCTGAGCTGTCAGCACAGAGCCCGACGCGAGGCTCGAACTCAAGAACCGTGAGTTCATGACCTGAGCTGAAGTCGGCCGCTTAACCCACTGGGCCACCCAGGCACCCTTAATGCCCTCGTTTCTAAAGGAAGAGAGTCATTATAACTTGTTCAGATGGTTACTGTGAGAATTAAGTGAAACAGTCCATAGAGGCTCACACTTGAGCACCCAGTGTTACTTGGTCAGGGGCAGGAAGTAGAGACTATGAACTGAGACCAGTGAGCTTGCTAACAGCCCTCTGTTTTCACCAGGGGCAGCTGGGATCTTGAGCACAAGAAAATGCGTTTTCTAAAATCCAGATCTCTTGAAGATTTAAAACATTAAAACAAGTGAGAGATGTGTAGACCACAGTATCCATTGGCCAGCAAGGGTTGGTAAGCACCTGCTTGGTGCCGGGGCCAAGGGTTCACGGTCAGCCACCAGGTTCCTCCAGGGTCCCATCCCATGTACAGTCTGCAGAGAAGGACAGCAAGGATGGTGGCGGGGGGGGGGGGGGGGGGGGAAGACCCAGAGAGCCTTCTCCAAGGAGGAGACTTTGGGGCTGAGAACTGGTTGTTGCACAGGAAATCAACCAGGTGGTCAGAGAGTAGGTGAAGAACGTTCTAGGAGGAGGAACAGAAGACAGAAAGGCCAGTTAGCTCAAGAGAGTGTGGTGCACACGTGAATGAGTGAACGGCCTTGAACGGTCTTTGTAAGACCTTTCCAAATGAATTTAAATGCCCATCAACCCGGATGGTTACGTAAATTATGGATACATTCACATAGCGGACACAGTACAGCCATTTGTAACCACTGAGTTCTCCGGACATGGAAAAGGATGTTCTCTAAGGTACCTGGTAAGTCATTTCGAGGAATAGCGTTTACCACGGGGCAGACACTGTTCTCAGCATTTGATGGGTATTAACTCGTGATCCTTACACCAACCCCATTCGAGAAAAGGAAAAGAGAAACATGCAACATAGGTTACTTGTGCAAAGTCACTCAGCCAGCAGGTGGAGGAAGCAGGATTTGAACTTGGGACTGGATCCAATGTCTGTGCTGGACCCCTCCCTCCCTCGGAATGTGCAGTTGGCTTCTGTAGGGGAGGCAAGACTTTACCTCTACCCATCTTAGTTTTCAGCCGGGACTTGAACAAAACTTAGACTAACAAGAGAAAAAACTTTTATTAAGTCATGCAGCACACATCACACGGGGAAACCTAATGAAAAGTAACCCAAAATGGCAGCTTAGAATTCCAGCTTAGATAGCATCTTCAACAAGGAACAATAAATTTGCCAAGAAATGACAAGGCAAAGGGAAATGGCTTAAGGCTTCTGAGGTCAGAAGGCTGTGGAAAGGTAAATATATGAGAGGGAATGGAGGAAGGTTTGCAAATTCCTCTGGTGTCATCTCTAGATTTATGTCTGTCTCCAATAAAAGAAGAATTTATACCCTGCCTTTAGGCAGAAAAGAGGGAGCTTTTTTTCCTGGGCTTGCTGCTTCTTAACTGCCTTCAGCTCAAAATACTTTTTAAGTCAAAGAGGCATATTTTGGGCTGACATATTCTGGTTTCCTTCACTTCCACGTATGTAAAATAAAATGGTTAGAAATATGTATTTGATTATATCTACATAGACACCCCCCAATTCCAGAAAAACACACCAGACAGCAATTGTGGGTATGGGGAGATAGGACACCTGGGTGGCTGAGGGATGGCGTGGGAGGGGGACTTATCTATATTGCCTTTTCTTTGCTTTTTGCTTTAGAATTTTGTACCATGCACTTTTTTGGGGGTCGGGGGGCAAGTGACAAGGGGCGGGGAGGTTGAGAGAGAGAAGCAGGGCTCACCCAGAGCTCGCGTTTTACCCGAAGCACGGGGCTTGTGTGACTCGAAATCACAAACTGTGGGGGCGCCTGGCTGGCTCTGTCAGTTAAGCGGCCGACTTCGGCTCGGGTCATGATCTCGCGGTCCGTGAGTTCGAGCCCCGCGTCGGGCTCTGGGCTGACAGCTCAGAGCCTGGAGCCTGTTTCAGATTCTGTGTCTCCCTCTTTCTCTCTCCTCCCCGCTCATGCTCTGTCTCTCTCCTCTCAAAAATAAATAAACGTTAAAAAAAATTTAAAAAGGAAAGATATTAACAGTAATTTTTCCTGATTATCCCCGATCATCTGAAACATCTGAACCCACAAGACTTACTGTCCTCCATGATCCACCGTCACCGCCCAAGATAATGACGTCATTTAATGCGGATCCTTCCTGACTTCTTCACTGTGATGACAGTTGAGAGCCATCAGTGAGCGCTTACTTCCTGCCAAACAATTCTGAGCCCTTCAGACGAAAACTTTCCACAACGGAATTATAACTGTGGCGCTCAAAACAGCCTTGTGAAGTGTGTATCATTTGTTCTCCGTTTTACAGGTGAAGAAACTGAGGCACAGACGGTAAGATGAGTTGTCCTGCCCCCTTATCCCCCCTGCCCTCCCCACACTGGGCTCCTTGCTGTTCCTCAGGCATCGCTGGCATGCTCCCACCTCCCAGCTTTTGCACATGCTTTTCCCTCTGCCTGGAACACGCTTCCAGATCTTTACACAGCCCACCCCACCGCCACATGCGCACACACACACGCGCGCACTGTATGTAGGTCTCTGATCAAATGCCACCTCCTGGAAGGCCTCCCCTGACCCCCACCCCCTTCAACCAGCTTTGTTTTGCTTCATAACCATGTTTACCACCGGCCATAGTCATTCATCCCTTCACTTACGTAGCAAGGCCCTCCAGTGCGCCAGGTACTGTTCTGAGTACTGGGGCTCCAGTGAGGAAAAGACAGACGCAGGTTCCACCCTCACGGAACTGAAGCCCTCGGGGAAACAGAGATTATTCCACTCTGACTCCTAACAGCAGGCCTATATCCCGGCTCCATTTATGAGCCGTGTGGCTTAGTCCCTAACTTTTCTGAGCCTCCGATCTCCCGTCTGTAAAACTGGGCTAATCACAGAGCCCCCACCACGAGGGCTGTTGCAAAAACAAAATGAGGCAGTGGTGCCTGGCTGGCCCAGTGGGTAGCACGTCCGATTCCTCATCCCAGTGTCGTGAGTTTGAGCCCCATGTTGGGTGTAGAGATTAAATTTTTAAAAATGAAATCTGAGGGGCACTTGCGTGGCTCAGTCGGTTAAGTGACCGACTCTTGGAGTTCAGTACAGGTCATGATTTCACGGTTTGTGAGTTCAAGCCCTGCATCGGGCTCCACACCGACAGTGCGGAGCCTGCTTAGGATTCTCTCTCCCTCTCTCTGCACCTCCCCAGGGCATGTGTGCGCGAGTGCTCTCTCTCAAAATAAATAGACTTTTTTTTAATATAATTCTTTTAATGTTTATTTATTTTTGAGAGAGAGAGAGACAGACTGCGAGCAGGGGAGGGGCAGAGAGAGAGGGAGACACAGAATCCGAAGCAGGCTCCAGGCTCCGAGTCGTCAGCACAGAGCCCGATGCAGGGCTCGAACTCACAAACCGCGAGATCATCATCTGAGCCGAAGTCGGAGGCTCAACCGACTGAGCCACCCAGGCGCCCCTCAAAATAAATAGACTTTTTGAAAAAAGTTTTAAAAAATGCCATGAGCTAATAAAAAAGCAACTGTTCAGTAATTATTAACAGTTATCATTAGGGTTGCGATTGTCATCCTTAGGCGCCACAGGGAGATAGAAGTAGTCATTATTTCCGCCCTCAAGGAGGTGGTAGATGGGTCAGGAAGACACATATGGATGACAGCAAGACACCAACGTTTCCCAGAGCAGGCAGAGAGATCAACGGGGGCAGAGAACGCATGAAAGAGAAAGTGTGTGTTGAGCCAGGGCTCAAGGGGGGTGGGATTTGGAGAGATGGGGGCTGGGGAGGGAAGGGTCTCCACACAGGCCTCTCTGCACAGAGGTACGGAGGCGGGACGGAGCACACGGGCCTAAGTGTGCTTCTCCCTTCTTGTCCCCCCTCGGAGAGAGTGCACGCGATGGCTGGGCACCTTCAGCTGCCTCTCCTGCCTGGTGCTGGTTCTGGGACTGAAGGAACAGCCCCATAAGGGAGCTGGTATGGCAGCTAATAGGTTTAAGAGGGTGGGAGTGGCCTCATGCCCCGGGGGACTGTAGGAGACTGTGGACACACCCAGACAAAGAAGAGATGCACCAGAACTCTCAAGTGAGGCTCAGTCCTACCCTGAACTTGGCCGAACCCTAGAAGGGTGGCAGAGCGGAGGCCAGCCTGGCCAAAGTCACTTTGCCCTGGTGTGGATGGAGCAGCCCAGGTGTGACAATTGTTTTTCTCTCCTGCCTGTCTGCTCTGTCAAGGTCACCAACACCTCCCCACCG